ACTACTAAAAGCCACTTCGTCATCTAGTAATCCTAGGGATTCCTTGACACAAACAAGTAATTATCCTCCAGCCTTCTCTTGCATTAATTCATCCCCGTAGATTACAGACTCTAGAGCTACAGACCATACGACTAATTCCTCTCGCCTCTTAGACTCATATTCTCCTTTGTATTACACTGAAAAAAATTTAAATTGCCAATGGCAGTTTCACTTCTATTGTAGAAAAAGGAAGTATTTGATTGCTTTACAATATGTTCTTCATGTTCCGAAATTAGCCTATAATTCCTTATTTGTCAATAAAATTTCCAAGAATGCTAAGTGTCGTGTTCTTTTCTTTGTAACTTATTGTATCTTTTAAGATCATGACTTGAGGAGATGATTGAGCATGCTATCAGTCAAGTTCCCATTTAAATATGGACAACTCCAAAGAAGCCCAATTAACCATCCAAGTAACTCTATGAAGAGGATCAAAATCACAATCTCCACCATTACGCACAATAAAATCCGAACTCCGCTATGGAAATAACTAACTGCCCACCTAGATAGCTAGACAGAGAATATGGCAAACAAAAACAGAGGATACTCCCAGTTAACATAACATTTCAGTGGAGCTACCATAAACAAAAAACTGAGTAGAAAAGTACGAAGCATTCAATCACAAAACGCAGAAGAAAAGAAACTAGAATGATTAAAAAGGAAAAAAAAAAAAAACATATATATCACCTGAGTCGCCAACCACAAACACTCGCACCTGCCCACAGAGAGGACCGCCATTCAGTTCTTTGTGCTCCCAATCACGGTCCTTCCAGAACATGTTTTCTTCCAGACCTTATAAACCGTATACACCTCCGAAGACGAATTTAGTATTCAAGTACCGTCAAACTGACTTAATCTCCAAGAAGAACAATTCCTCAGCAGAAGCACCTCCAAGTTTAATCTGAAATCCATATTACATGAGAACTAAATACAGATCAAAGCTGAAACCGGAGAACCTATGTCCAATCATCTCTCAACAGAATCGTAGTAGCTTCAAGAGGCGAGAGTGTGAAAGTTCGAGAGCGATGAAAATGAAGCGAGGATTAGCGATCTGGGGGAATGGGCATGCAAGTGAGATTGGTGCGTGAGAGAGAGCCGAAAGAGAATAACAGTGATAATCACCGCGCGCGCAAGAGAGACGAAATGAAACCGACGAAGGGCATTGGTGAATGTCCGTTTACAAAACGACGCTTTATTTTTCCTTTCTTTTGGGGAAAAAAACAAAAAAAAATTATATCCTTAAAGCTTGGATTTGATTATCATTTAGTTTTTTTTTTTTTTTTAATTTTTGAAAAATTAATAATCTCCTAATATATATATATATATAATATTCATGTGCCACATCATTTTTAAGACAAAGGGCACTTACACAGAGTGCGGTGGCATCGCAAATAGAGACTGTGGCACGTGCATAGCGTAGACTCATATTTAAATTCCTAGTCTTGAGTTAAAATAAGTTGTTTTGCATTTTCATTGTTTTATATTATTTTGTATTTGTTTTTATTCTCTAAAATTCAGTATATTCGTATTAATACGATGACTGGAAATATATATATATATATATATATATATATATATATATATATATATATATATATATATATATATATATATAGATATAGATATATATATATATATATAGTAATTAATCCATTCTAGATCCACTCTTGTGCGATTCACACCAACCTACTCAATGTCCTTGCACGAGCTCGTATACATATAGCAACCTGTTTTTCGAGGGACTCAAGCCACATGCCATTACTCACTAATGTGAAAATAAATAAAAATGTATAATATTTAAAACATTTAAGCATGTACCGTATATATCTGAAATTTAATTAAAATAGTAATAAAAAAATTATTTTATAAAAGATAAACTGAGACTACCAAAATACAATATTTCAAGTTTAAAATATTTAAAATATACGAAATACAGAAATTAAAAGACAGGTATAAAATAAAATATAGACTCGAATATGACGTGATTCTCTGTAGTCAATAGTCCATATGCGCATTTGCCTCGGTCGCAACATTACTCCAACTGAAAAGAAAATTGAAGAAGTAAATATACACAATAAACAGCTTGTTGGTAGTTCACATATCGTTCTTATATTCTATGAAATAAATTTTGTTTGTTTCTTGTCTTATTTTAGTTAGTTCTTAAGACTAAGTTCTTTCTAGGCTAAACTGTGGGTCAGTTCGTTCCACCTAAGATCAACTTATAATAATTTAGCAGAACTCATTTGGACACACGGTGGACCATTACATGTAACGGCCCAGATCTACTGCTAGTAGATATTGTCCTCTTTGGGTTTTCCCTTTCGGGCTTCCCCTCAAGGCTTTAAAATCACAATCTTCCTCCCTTCGGGGCCCAGCGTCCTCGCTGGCACTCTTTCCTTCCTCCAATCAATGTGGGACCACCCCCAAATCCACCCCCTTTGAGGCCCAGCGTCTTTACTGGCACACCGCCTCGTGTCTACCCCCCCTTTGGGGAACAGCGAGAAGGTTGACACATCGTTCGGTGTCTGGCTCTGATACCATTTGTAACGGTCCAGATCCACCGTCAGCAGATATTGTCCTCTTTGGGCTTTCCCTTTCATACATCCCCTCAAGGCTTTAAAACGCATCTACTAGGGGAAGATTTCCACACCCTTATAAATGGTGGGTTGTTCTCCTCCCCAACCAATGTGGGACATCACACTACCGCTCGTGACACGTTCATTAAAGGAATTCTAACTAGCAAACTTTCTGATAATCCTCGCAAAGAATGATCATACATCATAGAACATCATAAACTAGTTCTATAGTTATCTGAACTTCTGAAAAATCGAGTCAGGTTTATGATTAGGGGCTAGTTGTCGAACCACTAATCATCTCCATATAACTGCACGAAAATCACATGCATGAATAAGTAATCCTAAGTTTCAGGTTCAACCAACTCTAAGATACAACTGTGGACCCTTTTCACTTGTGATAGGTTCACTAAAGGAAAACTTCTTAATAACTCTCATAGAGTAAGATCATAGATCATAAGACATTATAAGTCTCTATTGTTATCCATATCTTTGACAATCGAATCGGGTTTACGGTTCGAGGTTAGTTGGCGAATCCCCATATAACTACATAATAATCACACGTGTGAGCAGAGACATAACGTTTTCAATTTCGCTCGACTCAAACTTATAACATTTAACCGATTGAAAAAGGTCCTACATTGAAAAAAATTATGAGAACGGTCAAAATCGAAGTGAAAATTAGGGTTGAAATGAGCAAACCATGTGAATCGAGCCAAACCGATCATCCTCACCTTTGTTCAGCTCCTTCTCACTCGATTTTGTTCAACAGCTTTTGCACCACCACCGTCCAATTCTTTTGGTATTCTCTAAAAAGATGTAAAGAATAATAAACAAGGAAAAATTATTCGTGTGGAATCCATACAAATTTACCATACATAACTCCTGTAAAAATAAATGAAAATTTTCCCGGGCATGAAAATAAAGTAGGTGACAGGATAAGGGTAGAGAAGCCTTCCACGTCTCCGACAAAAAATTAAAATGTAGTTACTCCCATTTAATAAATAGGATGCATTAAATAGAATCAATTACATATTTCTTACCCGTGTTCTAATTTTTTAGTTTTTAAATTCACTTACACGTGTTTTACATTTACTGTTATATCGGGAGTTACTCTACGTATTGCTTGGTGTAAAATAGATAGTGGAGCGCCAAGTCTCCCAAACGCTCTTCCATGTTATGGGGAGTCAATTCGAGCAAACGTCCAACCCTACACTCATAGAATGTTTAAGGGAAAGGACAAGCCCAAATCTGAGTCTCGTGTTTCAAAGGGTCTCGTTCCGTTCATATGTCACTTATTTGTAGCACGGTTTTTCTATCTTTTAGATAAGTAAGACAAGCGCTTCATTACGTTTGAATCTAATTTCGAGAACTCGGTAAAACAACTTTGTTCATTCCCCTCGTAGACGCTCATTAATCTTTCATTCTTTAATAATTTTACTTCTAAGGTTTTCATTAATCTTTCATTCTTTAATAATATACTGTGCATGTTGTATCTCACGAGCATCGGTTACTTCCCCTATGTACGGACGCGGACACTATGATATGATACGCGCTCATTTTCTTTCCGTTGATTTCCTGCAACGTGACCGTGCGCTAGCCCATAGTCAAGCCTATGGAGTACGTAGGTTACACCATAAACCATGTTGCACGTGATTGCATTTCTCGACCCTAAAAGTGAAGACACTTATTTAATATTTTTAAATATTTAACCTACGTTTAAATCTTTTTCAAATAAAAACGAGGACCTTCATGTACGGATGATGACGTTAGCTAAGGAGGCGAGGCCATGAAATCAAGTCTCGGTATTTAGATTTCTACATTTCACTTACAGTCTTTATGTTATGGTAGATCAATATCATTTAATTTCTGAACTTTATAAAAGATGATGTTTTTCCTGCTTTCAACTATGCTATTTTTATGATAGCGTTATTATGTTTCAAAGAAATTTATGAACATTTAAGTCTATGACAATGCTTCGCACGTAATAGTCAACCCATATAGTAGCGGTCTTATTTTAAAAGAAAAAGTATGGTCATTACAATACAAGTCGGACCAACATCAAGCTTCAAACAAGATCCATGCATTCCTACGCTAACCTTTGAAGCTTCCAAATTTTGAACAAGATGGAGCTAACCTTCGTTTGAACGAGATCAATTCGAACAAGCTTCCAAATTTTGACCTGATGAACCGAAGCCCGAAAAAGCTCGACGTACCATGCTAAAGGTGAAATGCTAATCTTAACATGCTTCTTACAAGTATACACGCCTATATAGGATACGTCTTTTAAGTTGCTTTAAAAGTATTTTTAAGTGCAACAAAACGTCGTTCAAAATCCAGCTTCTTACAAGCTCCTATCCTTAAAGTCTTTGTATATAAATAGCGGGAAAATGAAAAACAAAAAGAACTTTCACGTCTAGATTATTTATCTATGCAAAAATTATACAAAATACAAAATTGAACCATATACACAGAAATAAAAACAGACCATCTCGTAATTTAGGGTATGTTCGAGTTGACTTTCTAAGTGTCCTAAAAAGTGTTTTTAAGCACTTAGAAAATGAATCCGACCCTTAAATTTGGACAAGTAAAGGACGAGTAGGGTGAGCTAAGTGGAAGTAGAGGTAAGGGATGGAATTTGATTGTAATACACAACAAAGGGGCTCTCATGGTTGTGGATACCCTCGTAAGTAGTAATCACATAGCTAGCATCCTCTCTGTCTCTTTCCACCTTCTTCTTCACATTGCATCCCTCACTTGAACATTTATAGTAATTTCTGTACCAAAACCATACCCTTGTCAATAATAATGTATAAAAAAATGACCCGTTAATAGTTGCAATATTATCATGGACTTTTCATAAACGTTTCAAAACTATCACTGGAATAGAAATCTTTCGGGATCTGAACTAATTTGGCGATGAGGGTGATCCAAAATTTTGTTCTAGGTCACTATCATACAACGTGGAGGTGAGATAGTACATACTAGATTTGATCTTCTTTCTTAAGAATCTCAAATGAGGGAACCCTAAAATAATCGTCGGACTTCAACTACTAGTCATGTCGATCCATACCTTATTTTCTCTATGTTTTTTTGATAGTTCAGTTTGTCTCTTAATAGAGTCATTCAATAACATGTTTTGTTACTCTTTTCCATTACTTAGAAAAAGTGAGTACTAGTTCAAGTACAAGATACTATCACGTAACGACCCAGATCCACCACTAGCAAATATTGTCCTCTTTGGGTTTTTCCTTTCGGGCTTCCTCTCAAGGGTTTTAAAACGCGTCTGCTAGGGGAAGGTTTCATAAAAGGGTGTTTTGTTCTCCTCCCCAACCAATGTGGGATATCACAATCCACTCCCTTTGGGGCCCAGCATCATCGCTAGCACTCTTTCCTTCTTCCAATCGATGTGGGACCGCCACCAAATCCACCCCCCTTCAAGACCCAACGTTCTTACTGGCACACTGCTTCATGTCTACCCCCTTCGGGGAACAGCAAGAAGGCTGACACATTGTCCTGTGTCTGGCTCTGATACCATTTGTAACAGCCCAGATCAACTGCTAGCAGATATTGTCCTCTTTGGGCTTTTCCTTTTGGGCTTCCCCTCAAGGTTTTAAAATGCGTTTGTTAGGGGAAGGTTTCCACACCCTTATAAAGGGTGTTTTGTTCTCCTCCCCAACTAATGTGGGACATCAGATATCATTACCGTCTAAAAATTTAGACATCTAACTCGTAATCATAACGACCTAACTGCAAGAGCAGAGCTCTACCAACTGAGTTACATCCCTCGAGTTTAGTGAGATCTCCATGAAGGTATCACACATGCTTATCTTATTTTATTTTTTCCCTTCATAGCTATAGCTAGGGCTTAACTTAAATAAAAAAAACTTTTCCCGTGAAGTATACAATTGATCCTGATCTAAATCCTAAACTTGAAGTATTATACCACTGAAAGAGTACGTGTATGAACTAACCCCATATTCAAATGAAGAAAGGCCCTAAACCTAAAAAATTGATATAGTGTTAGGTCCCACATCGGTTAGAGAGGGAAACGAAACATTCTTTATAAGGGTGTGGAAACCTCTCCCTAATAGACACGTTTTAAAACCATTAGAATGATGGAGATACGTAACAGGTCAAAGAGACAATATCTGCTAGCGGTGAGGTTGGACTGCTACATATAACTATTACTAACCAGAAGATTTAACATCCTTCTCTAGAGGCTAAGATGCAACATCATTTTCAGAAGCCTCTATTCATTCTACCATATGTTGGGTAGCTCTTTGTTAATTGTTCGTAAAAAACACGTGACTGAAGAAGACAAAACATGCTAAAATGACACATATCGAAGTAAAAGAACATGTCTCGTATCCTTATATAAATTAAATTAATATGGAAGAAAAAGGTTGAAAATTATATTTTATTTCAATTATGCTCATGTGGAACCCTATAAAGTAATTTGGCTACTCAATACACAAACATACAAGATCCCAAAGCGATAAGAATGAAAGTTGGACCCACTAAACTCCAAAAAAGTAAAACAAAAAATAAAAAATTAGACCAAAAAAAAAATATATATATAAATATATATATAGAATTTTTTCATTATTGACAAATTATATAAGGACCGATCTAAATTTTATAGGGATAATTGACTGAGTCACTCGAGCAACCTAAATAAAGTTCACAACTCAATTCAGTTGGATTGTATGGTCGGATTATTCTTAATGTATCACTAAAATTGATTACAGACTTAAATATTCTTAATTTTCATAATAACTTTAATAGTTAGGTGAGTAGAGTCCACTGGTAACTCTATTTTTGAGTTGACTAGATAAAAAAAATGACTACTAGCAAACCGACCTGAATTTTTCGATTTTTCATAAACTCAACCGAACCCAAATCGAAAAAATCTGATCCAATCTAATTTTTATTGTTTGGATTGGATAGTCTAGATTGGTCGGGTTCTAGGATCATATAAACATTTTTATTTAAAAAGTCAAAAAAATATATATAAGATAAGAACCACGTGTACAAGCTTAAACGAGGTTGAAATATTTTACGAGCCTACAATAAAATAACCCGTAATCCAACGACCCAATTGAACCAATGGAATCGAAGATTTGAAAAGCTTATAAATATTCTTTTTTTTTAAAAAAAATTAAATAAATAAAAAGTTGACTGCTTTGTTTTTTTGTCCCAAGTCTACTCTGCCTCCAAAACTAAATATGAATCACACACCATATATATATTATCTAAAACTTTATTGAGTTATACATTGACTACTCAAGCCGCCTCCAATATGTCTATTCCTCCTGAATAAGACACCTAAAATTGCATACCCGTACCAACGTGAACAAAACTCAACGATTAATATATTTCAACCGACATGTCTACCGTTCATTTGCTTATAGCTTTATACCTCAATTAATAGTTAAGTCGTCAACGTAACATGTATTGTAGATAAGTATCATATTTTTAAAAACAACCCGACAACTCAACTCAACCCTGTTGGGTTATGAACTTGTTTAGGTTACTCGAATCATCAATCCGACCAACTTTAATCTGAGTTGGTCAAGCTGGTCGTCCCTAATCCAAACAAGCATAACTCAACAATCAACCAGACATGTATTGTAGATAAATCAAACATCTTAAACATCCTGGCAACCCAACTCAACTTAATTGAGTTATGAACTCTATTCGAGTTACTCGAGTCACTAATACGACCAACTTGAATTTGAGTTGGTTGCCCCTAATCCAAACAAGTATAACTCAACAATTAACGAGACATGTATTGTAGATAAGTATGATAGCTTAAAAAACATCCCGACAACCCCAACTCAACCCAGTTGAGTTATGAACTTTATTCGGGTTACTCAAGTCACCAATCCGATCAACTCGAAATTTCGAGTTAGTTAATCTTAATCCAAACAAGCATAACTCAACAATTAACGTAGTTCGTTCATCTGATTATATCAATCAAAACGCTAATTTGAATTTACCTCGGATTCGGGCTGTTCTTGACGGACTTTTTCCCATATTTCCTCCACTTATAGCCATCATCCATAATCTCTTGCTCCGATTTGGTTCTGAATGCAACCCTACACCCCATCTCCCCCTTCCTCTTCCTCTCACCATTTTTGCTTCTTCTGCAAAACCCACAAACAAAAAGAAAAAAAACCCTTTAATTGAAGCTCGAACGAGTTTGAATTTAGAGGTTCGAATCGATTAAGCCACTTGCATGGATGGCGACGGCTCCGATGAAACCACGAAGCTAGATCCGCTGTCCACTGCCACACTACTACCGCCACTGTCCACGCCGGTGATCTTCTCCGAAGACGAGGAGGCGAGTTGGTCAACGTAGCTATCGTCATCGCCGACGAGGAAATTGGAGAGATCGAAGTCGAAGAAGGAAGCGGGGTCGAGAATTGGGGAGAATTGCGTGAAATTAGGGTTAGGGTTAGGGTTTGGATCTTCATAAGGGAAGCTCGCCATTGCTGTGAAAACAAGCAGCTGGTTTGTAAGGAATGGTTGAGTTTTTATAATATTAATTTATTTTTTTTTAATAAATATTTTCTCTCTTTCAAAGCAGCTTCCTCCTGGATGAAGATGCTTTGAAAGTTCTTCACTGGGACACGTGGCGGATTTCTAGTGAGTGTGATGACGTCATCATGATGACGTATGGTGCACACTTTAGTGTACTTCTAGGGACCACTTTCCTTAATTTAGGAAATTATTTTACTTTTTTATATATTAAATTACAATTTTTGAATTCGTCCGATTTATTATTATTATTATTTTTAATTTCTTTTCCGTCCGGTTACGAATTCGTACCAATTATTTTAGTATTGTAAGACTTTGACACGTCACATTAATTTAGGATTTTTTTTTTTTAAGCATAAAACTTTAAATTATTTTAATTTTGAAGAAAAATGAGGAAATTAGAGTTTACTTAATTTTGAAATGGAATCAATAATGTTTTGTACGAGTTATGTGACTAATTATTAAGGGTGTTCGTGAGTTGGATTGGGTCGCTACAACATGCATGACGAGACTGTTAACTGCAAAAACATTCCTTTCAGGGTTGCTCCCTCTTGTGTCTCCTTGGTTCGCGTTAGACTGTTAGGGCTAACCCTATTAGTTTAGTTTATTGTTAGGTGATAGAGTTTGCTACTTATTTATAGCTTAGTCAATGGTTACATAGTAAAATTATATATGGTAAATGACATATAAAGTAAATTGTCATAATTAGTAAATAGTTATGTATAGTAAGAAGCTATATGCGATAAAACTTATATAGGGTAGACAGTTATATGCAGTAGATGATTATATCTGGTAACACTATATATAATAAGCTAAACCATATATATATCGCTCAGGTAGAGCTTTGAAAATGTACTTTTCTATTTTCTCTATGTTCTCTATGTTCTCTCTTGCTGTACATATTTGCACCATCAATACAAAACCTTTAGCCAATATTCTTTTTGCATTTTCTCTATCATATTCTTTATGTTCATCTAGATTGAGTGTGTACGTTGTTGTGCGAACCTAACAACTGGTACTAGAGGCAAGTTCACGATCTGTGAAGATGGAAAACTTAAAGATTGGAATTGAGAAGTTTGATGGATCCAATTTCGGTTTCTGAAAAATGCAGATTGAACATTACCTGTATCAAAAAGGTCTTCACGAACCCTTATTGGGGTGATGTCGGATACCATGACCACGGAGCAGTGGAAGCTCAAGGATCGACAAGCCTTAGAGCTGATCCGGTTGACGCTATCCAAAAACGTGGCATTCAACATCATCAAGGAGAAGACAACATCAAATCTGAAGAAGGCGCGGTCGAATATGTACGAAAAATCGTCGGCTATGAACAAGGTGTATTCGATGTGGAGATTGTTCAGTCTACAGATGTTTGAAGGTGAATCTGTTGTTGATCATATAAATGAATTCAATATGATCGTAAGTCAAATGAGTTCGGTGGAAATTAATTTCGAGTATGAAATTAAAGCATTGATTTTGATGTCATCTTTACCCGAGTCGTGGGATATTGTTGTTGTCGCAATCAGCAGTTCCCTAGGATTTGATAAACTGAAGTTTGATGAAATTCGATATGTAGTTCTCACCGAAAGTATTCGCAAACGAGAAATGGAAATTCATCAGGTAATGCTCTCAGTGTTGACCAACGGGGAAGAAGTAAACCGAATGGCCCCAACAAAAGGCAATCAAAATTAAAAAAATCGAGAAAAATCTCCAAATAGACCAAACGTAACGTGTTGAAATTGTGGAGAAAAATGTCACTTTCGAACAGATTGTACAAGACCAAAGAGGAAGCAGAATCACAAATCTAGAGATGATGATTTTATAAATTCAGCAGAAGATATGAGGGATGCTATAATCCTCAGTGTGGACAGTTTGATTGATTCCTGGATTTCGGATTCTGGTGCATCTTTTCATTCGTCTCCAAATAAAGAGTTGTTCCGGAATTTCAAGTCTGGAAATTTCGAGAAGGTGTATCTTGCTGACAACAAAAATTTGGAGATTAAAGAAAAAGGAGATGTATGCATAAAAACTCCGGCAGGAAATCAGTGGACATTAAAGGATATCAGATATACTCCTAGTCTCAAGAAGAACCTGATCTCTATTAGTCAGTTGGACAGCACAAGTTATGCAACAGAGTTAGAAAAGAGTTTGTGGAAGATTATGAAGGGTGCTATGGTGGTAGCACGTGGCACAAAATCTTGAACTTTATACACCACCGTAGGGTGTATGAACAGAGCTGCTGTTGCTGAGAGTGCTTCAAATTCAAGTCTATGACACAATAGACTTGGACATATGAGCGTGAAAGGAATAAAGATGTTGGCTGCGAAAAGAGTTTTAGAAGGTCTGAAATCTGTTGATGTGGGTCGTTGTGAGAACTGTGTTATGAGCAAGCACAAACGAGTTAGCTTCACAAGGACTGCCAGAGAATTAAAGAAAGTACGATTGGAAATGGTTCATACAGATGTGGAGCATGGTTCCAAGACCACGAAGCAAGTGGAAGTTAAGCTTGAGTTGCAGGGAAACTCACCTAGTGATGTTGTAGCAAATACTCAAGAAACTCTTGAGACTGTTGCAGAGGAACCAACGGTAGAGCAAGTGACATCTGAACCGGTGCTGAAAAAATCATCCAGTACTATCAGAGTATCATATATGTATGTACCTTCGTTACACTATCTGTTGTTGATGAAAGGGAACCAGAGTCCTTTGATGAGGCCCTATAGTTGGAGGATACAACCAAGCGGGAGCAAGCCATGGATGATGGGATGTTTAGGCTTAAAAAATGAGTTGTACTGAGGCTGAGTACGTGGCAATAGCTGAAGCTAGAAGGGAGACGATATGGATAATTGATTATCTAGAAGAATTGGGCAAGAAGCAACACGAAAAGATTCTTTATAGAGATAGTCAGAGTGTCATACAGTTGGTCAAAAACTCGGTCTATCATTTAAAGATAAAACACAGAAGGCGATACCATTTCACTTGCAGGTTAGTGGAAGATGGTGATGTGTTTTGAGAAGATAGAGGGTGCAAAGAGTCCAGCAAACATGTTCGATAAAATGTGTTGATGTTAGAATATTGAGGTTGTGCAAAGACTCAATTGGTATGTTGCAGTGAAGATGCTCATGATCGTTTGAGAATGAAATTCTTTGTTGACTAGATCAGTTTCCAAGTGGGAGAATTGTTAGATTATGGAGTCGGCTACTTATTTATAATTTAGTCAATGGTTATACTAGTAAAACTATATATGGTAAATGACATATAAAGTAAATTGTCATAAATAGTAAATAGTTATGTACAGTAAAAAAACTATATCTGCTCTATATGGTAGAGAGTTACATATATAGTAGATGTTAAAGTTATATATATGGTAGAGAGTTACCTATATAGTAGATGTTAAAGTTATATATAGTAAGTTGAACCATATATATATCCCCTCAGTCAGAGATTTGAAAATGTACTTTTCTATATTCTCTGTATTCTCTCTTACCGTACATATATGTAGTCATCAGCTCAAAAATCGAACTTGAATCCAAACCTCAGCATTGGTAAATTGAGCATCCAAACTATAGGCTCGAAACTAAACCACGCTAGGCTTAGATGCCCAGCAACCTACAATAGTGGCCCAACAACTATCGACTCGTTCTGCATCTCCAGCACATGTAGACACCTCGACCCAGCAACCCTAGGCTCGTTCCACCTCTGGCCCACAAACGCGCCTCATGCCTCTAATATGCAACCCATTCACCTTCTTCAGGCTCGCCTTGACTCGACTTGGTGGCTCCCCAATGACTAAGGAAGCTTATTCAACTTGGATTAGAACTTTAAACAACTTGGATTAGAACTTTAAACCCTTTACCCACCATTTTAGACAATTCTAAAGCTATTTTTTACGTTCATAAATTGTGATAGTTTGGCTGCATGACTACAGTGATAGTGAAACCGAATTGTGAGACTTAGAGTTATATGAATAGGTTCATGTACAGTTTAACTTACATGGTATATAATTATACTTTTCACGACACAGTTCGTTGACTTTTGTTATAATAAAATATGTTTTGTTTCATTAACTTTTGGTTTTTATTCAAAACTTCCTATCATTCATAAATGATCTCGAAAAGTTAGTCATTACATAATTTAATGCCTAAAGTTATATTTATTTACGATTCAACCGTGTCTCGTAAACAAAGTAAAACCCTAAAAGCCATAATATTCTATTATGATTTTACCAAAGTAGTAGAACTTGGGTAAATATATAATTTAATTTAATTCTACACATATAATAAACTTTTTTTTTTTTTTTTTTTTTTGTAAATAATAATAATAAATTGGGTTATTTTTATATGGTGGGGAGCAATGTGGCCCCCACCATAATTCTAAGCTGATTTCTTTATCAGTGGAGAATGGTGACTAGATTAACAAAATAAAATCCTTTGAGGATCATTCATTTGACTATTTTTTTTTTTTAATATAAATTTGTGAATACTTGACTACCCCTAATTTTAAAATATAATAATATTATAATAAAATAATGAAAAATAGTACCTTACTAGTCGACCCAAACGCGTTTTTCACTTTAAGATTGATTGTGAGATTTCACATGGGTTGGAGAGAGGAACAATTTTTTTTTTAAAAGGAGTGTAGAAATCTCTTATTAGTAGACGCGTTTTAAAATCGTAAGGCTGACGATAATACGTAATGGGTCAAATCCGACAATATCTGCTGGTAGTGAGTTTGGGCTGTTACAAATGGTATTAGAGCCAGACACCGAACGGTGTGCCAGCAAGGACATTGAGCCCCAAGGGCGTGGCCTTTGAGATCCTACATGGTTAGAGAGGGAAACGAGATATCAAAACCAGACATTGGACAATGTGCTAGTAAGGACTCTGACTCCTAAGGGTGTGGATTGTGAAATCCCTCATCGACTAGAGAGGAGAATGAAACTTTCTTTATTAAGAGTGTAGAAACCTCTCCTTAGTAAATTTGTTTTAAA